TTTTTTTTCTTACTTTTGCAAATGAAGTTATGTTTTCAGGAGAGTTTGTTTTACTGCCTAAGTACAGAATATCTGTAAAGGTTATGGGCGGATTTTTATGAGACTTTTATCAGAGGTGTTTCTTATGCCAAGAAACCATCCATACAACTTTTATGAGGATTCAGATCATAATATGGACACAGATTTTTTAAAGGAAAAGGGAAGGTTGTTGGTTTGTTGGCAGGATCAATTAGAAACATGTGAACAAATTCTGAGGAAAATTTTTTTTTCTCGGCACCTTATGCCGAGGAACAATTGATTTAAAATTGCAGATGCATGTCAAAATATGGGGCAGAATTTGCTGCTTGGCGAACATCTGCTCCCTCCAAATGCTTTTCTAGATATTTATTTTTTTCTAATCATTTAGACAAAGTTCTAGTTCAGGTCCAGTAAAAATTAAATTTTTCAAAATTTGCTGCAATTGGGAGCCTTTACCTTTATAATATTTACATTTCCAAAGCATTATTTTTAATATTTGAAAATGTAAACTCTGTAAACAATTATGTTTTTTGGGGGAGGGAATTAAACTTATTATGTCCCTGATATATAGTGGAATAGATGAGAGTAGAAGAGAAAATATCAGATCAGAATAGAAACAAATATATGAATCTGAAACAATAGAAGAACAAAACAGATAATAAAACAAATCTGTCTCAAATAGAGTTATGTAGAATAGAACGGAACAGAGTAGAATAGATACACACACACAATCAGACAGATCATAAATGAGTAGATCAGAATAGAAAAGCTTAGATTAGAATAAAATCGATAATAGATAATGATATGATAGATCCGAGTCGAAAAAAAGGAAAAGGATAAAAAGACTCAGATAAAAACTAAAGAAGTGGAATAGAAGAAATGAGAACACAAGGTGACTGACCTGCAGTTTTCCGTCCAGCTGACGTCTCTAGATGTTTGTTCTCTAGATGTTTGGTCTCTAGATGTTTGGTCTCTAGATGTTTGGTCTCTAGATGTTTGGTCTCTAGATGGGCTCATCAGGAGATGGAGGTTCTTCCTCAGCTTCATCCTCTTTACAGCTCCATTATAGATTTGATTATTTCCTACATAAAGAAAGAACCATGTTTTAATGCCAGTTTAGACAGAGATAGGAGACAGTTTTCACCAGAGAGTCCTCATTTTTCAATCACAACTAAAACCAATGTTCCGGTCTGAGGATCTAAAATGCTCTGCAGTTCTATATCAAGCTGATGAATGGAGATCGGTATTTTTAGATCAGAGCTTGGAGTCGATCATAGTTTAATGGCCTCCATTTCTCCTTC